GCGTGGTCTAAGTGGCGATCCATGTCTGGGATCCTTTGCGACAAGAAAATGCCAGAGCGGTTCAAGTCAAAGATCTATCGTACTGTCGTCCGACCTGTCGCGTTATATGGTGCCGAGTGCTGGCCCGCGACCAAAGAAGTTGAGGCTCGCCTTGGTGTGATGGAGATGAAGATGTTGCGCTGGACGGCGGGCGTCACGCGATCGGACCGCATCTGTAATGATGTCGTGCGCAAGAAGTATGGTGTAGCCCCCATAGCGGAGAAAATGCGTGAAACGCGCCTTCGATGGTACGGGCACGTACTTCGCGCGAAGGCTGACACCGTCCGGAAAACTGCTCTCGAACTCGAGGTACCAGGAAAGCGGCCAAAGGGGCGTCCCAAACAGCGCTGGCTCGACACGTTGCATACCGACTTGAAAATAGCCGGCATTCACCCCGATCAGGCATCCAATCGGGAAAAGTGGCGTAGTTGTATCAAAAGAGCGGACCCCGCGATCAAGCGGGACAAACGCTGAAGAAGAAGAAGTTTCCAAGCGGTCCTCCAAGCAGTGTCAACGACTGAGCTTTTGCCTTTTTCCTCCATTTTCTCAGAAATCACTTTCTCAAGCCAATTTTAACATACTCGTGGACGATTGGTAAGTTTTTCTTACCACATTATAAAGCCTCCTACAACCTCCATGATGAAAGAGCTGCTTCTCAAAAGCTCATCTTTCGGTTTTTTTTCGCCCTCAGTTTTCTCAACCGTTGTTTTGAATGCGATTGCACAATTGCTATGGCCCAGAACAGATTTCAAATGAACTGTTGGGTCAACGAAATTAAAAAGCGAGTTTCATTCGGTATCTTTTTGCAGGAATGAGAAAGGACTATGAAGTTTCACAAAGGCATTATGTGTTGAATATGATCCCAATTAGTGGCAATACACCTTGCCAATTATTTGGGAACGCTAAGTTTTTTGTCACAGAACCCTGCAATTTTACCATTAGACTACCTTGTCGTTCTCTTCCTGCCATTATTCTCTTTGCCCTGAGCATGTCAAAATGTGCGTCACACGGGGAGCCTGCATGTCAGCACTGACAGGACGTCCTCACTCTCAACCGTTGGTTCCCCTCTTATTTCAGGTCGTTTGCGACCTACATTTCCTAATACATCAACCTTGTCACAACAGGCACGGATTTTGATATTATATAACACTGCTCTTATCAATTACACATGCTCTTGCCCACTCCAGCTCCTGTCTTCTCTAGTTGATCTCCACTATTGAGTGTTTGATCTTTTCCCGCCTAATGTCAACGTGTGGTCGGAAATGATCGGACACTCCAGTTGCCTTCTCTAGAGCTCGCAGTGGTTGGTTGCTTCCAACCCTGCTCTCCTTCGGAGCTGTCATATATTCTCTCAGCCTTCGTCAGCGTTATTCTCTACCTCGTCTTAGTTTCTCCTGCGGTGGTTACACCCCCCTTCGGTGGAGTTGTTAAGGCAGTCTCAGACGCCTTCCTCTTACCATGAGGTGTCACACCTTCACGGGGATACCCCCAAACATGATCCAGGTGGTCAAGGCAGTCCTAGACGCCTTCCCTGGCTATAGCCCTATAAGTGGTCAAGGCGCGCCAAGCGCTTTCCCTAGGGGCACCCGGAAGACCGGATCTTTTGGGTCTCGGGAAACCGAGGGCGTTTTGCTAGATTGGTCAGAAGTGGCCGCTGGCGCCAAAATTTGCGATGCAAGGGCACCCCGTCCCGGAATGAAACGGATCAATATCACTAGTGTCCGTCGGGTCAGCGTCCCTCTCCTTGGTATCGGCTCTCGGGGGGGGGTCTCATTGATCAATGACTCTCTGTCTTGCCGAGTTGTATGACGCGTCGGTATTAATGGGTAATATGCTTACCTGCCCTTGTATTTTTCTTTTCAGATGTCGGACTTGGACGCCGATCACCTGAAGGAGCTGGAAAAGATTTTGCTTGACGACGACCAGGTTTCTGAAGGCCAGCTTCGAGAGGACGTCTCCAAGGAGCTCAAGCCGCCAGGGAAAAGGGAGCGCGTCCGAGGGCGACCTTCACGGAACAGGCGTAAGAGGAAGCGTCGTTCTAGCGAGTCACCTTCATCGTCATCTTCGTACTCGTCGTCTTTGGATTCTTCTGAAGATTCGGAACTGGATTCCCACCCCCTACTCGACAGGAGACTAGCGGGGCGGGAGGAGGAGGGTCGAAGAAAATTCGAACCTCCCTCGCCATTACAGGAGCTACAGGAGAAGATCCCTAAGAAAATCGAATTTTCTTCGAGTATTCGCGAGGCCCCCGAGATCGCTGGTCTGGAAAAGAAGAAATTGCGAGCTCGGGTGAGAATAGCGGATATTTTCCTGGAGCACTTCGACTCGTGCGCAGCGGGCATGTATGTAGCGTTTGCCCCTCGTGGCCTCACCGCTAGCTACTGTCCCAGTGTTGGATGAAGGCCTTCGGGCCATCAACTACCGGCTACCCTTGGATGAGCAGGCCATGGTCGCCGACTCGGAATGTGTCATGAATGCCATAAACCTTCTCGCCATCAGTCGCAACGAGGCAGCGGAACAACGCTTCGAGAGAGCGGATTCGTACGTGAAGCAAGCAATGGAGCTCCTCGGAATTTCAATACACGATTTTAACGTTCGACGCAGAGAGCGCTTCTTCAGGTAGTCTTTCCCTTTTCTAATCAACCTTGAAGAAGCTTCTCACTTCAATTTTCAGAAGCTATGGAGTGGATCCATTGAGATCGGTTCCAAACTATCGTCGTCTGCCAGTAGAAGTGCCGACACGCTCAGCTGACAAGCCATGGAACGAGTTCGCTGGTGGACTTATTGGATCAAAACTGGCCACCGAAATTGTGGAGAAGACCCAGTGCCAGCGTCTCACGGAAGCGCTACTGAAGGAGCGCAAATCATTTTATCAGAAGAGAGACCGTACACAGAAGAGACACCACAGTCGCTCTACGAAAAAGGAGAAGAGTCGAGAATCCAGGTTTGTCAGACCTACCTGTACTCTTTCAGTAATTCCGGCTGACAGCAGAATAGCGGGAAGGTTCTGCGTTTTTGCCCATGAATGGAATTCACTGAACATTGATCGTTGGACCTGGGAAACATTGCGCGGCTACAGATTGATGTTTAGGGGAGCCCCACCAAAACTGAGGCGGCACAACTTTTGCAGAGGTTCCCAGTCCGCAGCGGTCGGCGAGGAGGTGCAGAAAATGCTGGAGAAGGGCGCAATAGAGGTGGTAGATTGGCACGAAAAGATTTGGCTATCCAGCATTTTCTGCATTCCTAAGAAAGACGGATCACTCCGTCCCATTATTAACCTAAAACCTCTCAACAAGTACATTACCCACGTTCACTTCAAGCTCGAATCTCTAGAAATGATCAGGGACTTAGTCAATCCGGGATCGTACCTGGCCAAAGTAGATATGAAGGACGCTTATTTTGCAATCCCTATCCACAACGACTATCGGAATTACTTATGCTTTCATTACGAAGATAAGCTGTTCCGATTCAAGGCTCTACCTTTCGGTTTGTCTTCGGCGCCATATGTCTACACTCGCGTGACCAGGCACGTAGCAAGAGCCTTAAGGCGGAAGGGATTGAGACTATTGGTCTACCTAGATGACTGGATATTTATTGCTGACAGTGCCAAACAACTTAAGCAGGATCTATCGTGCGCCATCACGTTGTTTGAAAAACTAGGTTTCCTGATCAACTATGAGAAGTCACAGTTAACGCCCTCACAGTCAATGGAATTCCTTGGAATTACTATTGACACTGTGCAGTATCGTTTCCTCGTTCCTCCACAGAAAGTCTCCCGTTGCTGCCAAGAAGCTCTGGAGCTAGTCAATCGTAGAATAGTACGACTGAGAGATGCAGCAGAGTTCGTGGGTAGAGTCGTAGCTCTGTCGGTTGCTAATAAACTATCTATCCACTTTCTAAGGAACTTACAACAGTGGATTGGTAGTTATGGTCCTACCTGTGTCTCGGAGTACCACATAAAAGCCCCTCTGCCGCCCAACTGTCTAAGAGATTTGGAGTGGTTTACGTCGGAGTTTCCAAGATTTTGCTCGGAACCGATCGTCTTAAGTGCGCCTACTTTGACAGTCACCTCCGATGCGTCAAACCTAGGTTGGGGAGCAACATGCGGTACAGGCAGGACCAGCGGTAGATGGCGCCCAGAGGAGGAGATCCTTCACATCAATGAAAAGGATTACTTGCCTGCTTTTTCGGACTTAAGTGTTTCGCGGCCCACCTCTCAGATGCGTCCGTTCGAGTGGAGCTGGACAACACCTCAGCAGTCTGGTATTTAAATAAAGGGGGCGGTACAAAGAGTCGCAGGCTGAGCGTGATCGCTCGCAGCATAGCTTCTTGGGCAGCCAAACGTAGACTACATATTGTAGCGTGCTACAGAGCGGGAGCTGAGAATACAGAGGCGGATTTCCTATCTAGAAACTTTC